TTTTGGCATAATTTTAACATGACATGTATGTAACAACACAGTATATGCACACAACCATGATTCATATGCAAATCTATACAAAGACAAACATGCACAACATAATTTGAAAACCATCTTGTGACCACATACAGACATCCACCATATTTTATGAATATGGTTGGTTGATCATCAGTTGACATTAAGCGATGACCAATTTATTTTATTTGACAGTTATTCATTCCTGGCCTCCCCTGAAGCAGATATTGAATCTGTCCATCTTGTAGTGAGGGATGGGCTGCGATACAAAACACACAGAGGGTCTGGTATGTTTGGCTTTTTTCCCCAGAAGGTTACTTTCAGCTTCTTTGACTATAGGATCTTTACTTTACCTGGTTTTCCTTAAAGCTACACGAAACACCACTTTTATATTAATTCACTCGAGTGAAAGTACAAAAGTACTAGTCCAATAAACTACTAAAAGTACAAGTTACTCTGTTTTGCTTCTCAAAAATTATTGTTCCTGAATAAATAACTTCACTGCAACATTCTCTTTAATGAATTCACTGTCGGGCATCACTATAAAACAAATAGCAACCAATGCTTATTAGAGAAAATAAATGATTTCCAATTAAAAAAAAGGCACACTCTTGCAACGAGCTAATTCATGTAACATATCACAATCAATTCAGTGATCTTCAGATTTTAGTGTGTAGCCTACATTTGTTCTGCAAAGACAAAATGCCGTTAATGGAAAGAGAAAGTATTTCTGCCGGTTTGTGAAAGAGTGTCCAACAAGGCCACCAGTGGCGTAGTATGCAGTAACTGGATTTGAATTAGCAGAACAACAAAACCTTAAATTTAAAAAGGTATTTGCCTGATTTTAATGTTTAGTAAAATCTGCCAAATAAAGTAAAAACATCACATCTACCTTTGCAGTTTTCACTTATTCCCACAATATCATCGCAAAAAATGTTCCAAAACATTGCAACTTTCATCACAATGTTTTAGAAAAGCTGCCTCAAATCAGCCACTTTAGGCAAAAAAGGCCCATCCTGGAGAGACTGGATAGAGAGAAATTTGTCAGGCATGCGCTATTCACTTTCTCCTAACTCTACAATGCATCTATCGTAATGTTTTTCTGGCTGACTCAGCTCTTAATTTTAATAAGCTGTTTTTCAGATGCTATTTTATGACCAGTTCAGTGCATTCATCTGAAATGTCAGAACCTCTTTTGTTTGTCACGGTGAATAAATCTGTCTTTCTTCATATCATCAGTACATTTAAACATTATGGTGAATATTCCATTTCCCAAAGCACTAAATTCACATGGGTCTAGATTCTGAGCAAACATCCATGTCAACAAACGAACTCAGCCCCCTGGGTGCAGGCCTTAACTTATTCTGATTTTGATGAATGAATATTGTAGTTTCAGAGTTGTTTAAACATCATTATTACACAACATATTTATAATGGTAATTAAACAATGCATTTTAGCAACTACAGCAATAAGTTTATAAGATGACTTTAGCAATGTATTCAGCAATTTTACTTCAAGCAGTATTATGTTTTGAGATGATTCCTTAAAGGGTAAAAAAAAAAAAAAAGAATAATCATAAGTTATTTCCCTTGTTATATTTTCTGTCAGAGTGAAGCACATGCCAATTCTATTAACTTGAATTACTTCTTTTTATGCCAACTTAGTCCTCTTCGCAGTATATTTCACTACCACAATCAGGGGTGGATTGGCCAATCGGGAGAACCGGGCCAAATACCTGCGGGCTAATTTGGCCTGCCATTGAAGATCTTGAACAACACATCATCTAGCTAACTTGAGCCGGCGCACACTCTATTCACTTTCTACAAATGCAGCTCCACTCTGACAGCTGTTAGGAAGCTTCAACTCATTTTATCAAATGAAACAGTCACCACAACAATAACAATTACCTACAAAAAACATTATATTCTAAGCAGGCACGTTTTAAGAATACATCAATCATGAAGTTTTTTGTATTTCAAACAAATGGCAAACTTATTAGCAAATTTTAACAAAACTCCCTTCCCCACTATGCATCATGTTAAGTCTGAGGGGCGGACTTCACCCCGGACTCACACAGGCAGTGTTTGAACCGCGGTTTATTTCCGTTCTCAGACCGGCTTCAACTTCCACTGGAAGCCCCTCAGCATTTCAGCAGCAGAGTGTGCAGCCTGCACAATATGATAACTTGTTTTTTGTCCTTTTGTGATTCTAATTCCTTCATCACTTCGGCCCGCATTAGTTCTCTCATCCCACAAGGAGCATTTCAGAATAAGAGCGTTTTGCCTGTGTGATTTTGCTGACATGTTTAGAGTTTGTTGATTTGGTGATTAGTGCTTGCTTTATGTACTTCTACTGTGATTAATTAGGCTATCTAGTTAAATTGTTTCTTTTTTTGTCTGTTTTAACTGTGTTTATTGTTGACATACAATCAGGGGTCTGTACAGGGTATTTTATTTTGAAAATTGACCGGATTCTCTATGTTTTATGTCTGACTTCCTGCCCGGTTCATCTGCTCATGCTGCTTGATGGATGCCGCACAAACAGAGCGGAACAGAGCGGGAGACACTTCTGGGACGCACTGCTGTAGAATAACTGTGATCCGCTCCGGCAGCCGTGACGCAGGCAGACTCAATGAGTCCTGGGTCATGGAAACTTGGTATTAAATGACTTGGTAGCAGGTGGGCACCATGATGAAGCTCCGCCCTCGTATTGAAAATTCAGTGTTCAACGCTACTTTAATGATCAGTCCCAAAAGTCAGTAGATGAACATGGTAAAGACTATACTTGGTTTGGTACCTGTTACATCAACAAATAGGGTTTGTCCCATAGACCAGGGGTTTTCAAAGTGTGAGGCAGGCCTCCCTAGGGAGGCTTCAAACAGTTTCAGGGGAGGCTCAGTGAATGGAAATGAAACATTACATTACTTATTGCATTAATTATCCAAAGGAGATCACATAAAATAACCTACATGTGTGAGAGTTCAGAGATACAGTAGTTTTGGGGAACAGTTTCCCCCCCACCAGAGTCAGAAACTAATAAATGGCTTAGGACAGACCTTTTTTAAAAACTATTTGGTGCAGTCAGAAGTTATGTAAAACAGCAATATTAGGCTATTTTGGCTCAAATGTTGAGTGTCTATGGGAAAAGAATCGTGATCTCATAGACATCCAGGAATTGAGCAAAATTTAAAGAAGGGGGGGGGGGGGGGGGGGGGCGCATTTCCCAAGCTTTGTATGAGGAGAGGCCCGCACTTTCCTCACCGTGACTCATCTTCTGCTGCGATGACGACCATTTATTATTATTCCCCCATTTGTCATCATGCCTCTCTGCCACTAGTTGACATGAGCGCCATCGAGTAATGATAATTAGCCAATGCTCCGCATGGAGCAGTCACGTGTTCACACACGTGTTTTGTATTATACACAGTTTTTGGCAAAGGAGGGATGGGCAGTTCTTTCATTGCTGCTGGTTGGTTCTCAGCAACTGTGTTTGCAAAACTTCTGAAGCCGAGTTGAAGATATTGAGATGACCGAGTGAGAGCATGTGTGAGGTTAGGGGCTGCGCAGCATGTGATTGACAGTGTGTTAGAGACCGTTCCTGGCTCCTTTTGGTCGTTTTATTCAGGAAGTGCTGGATTCTTGCAAAAGGCATTAGGACCAGTACACAGATTTACAGATTATCTGTCTCATGTATACTGTAAGGATAAATTGACAGTTAGCAAATATGATGAAAAGTTTTTTTTCGTATAATTGTCTGTCACTTACTGATTTCTCATCCCTTCTGCACCCTAGTGATCTGTGATGTCTAAACATATCGGATCCATGATGGGCGTTGGATTGGTGGAGTTTATGTTTTCATTGTAGGTCAAACCCGGTTGACGTTCACATGAATACAGATCTATCTAGCCAATAAATGGAAGTTAGTGGGAGGGCACTTTCTATGGGCTGCCACCAAGAATAATACAGTATGTCTGTCTGCCCAAAAGAACAGCAGTGGGAGAAAAGCAGCACAATAACCTTTACCTTCAGCTGTCAGAAACAAAGCTCTGGTGGATTTCTACAGAACAGCAATCACATTACTTTTTTCTCTCTCTCCTCATTCGACTCTCTTCGTCTTACACACACACACACACACACACACACACACACACACACACACACACACACACTGCTGCTCTCAAGGTAACATGAAAGGCCCTGGCAGATACAGAGACATTTTAGGGCCCTCATCTATCTCCCATGGCCAGGAGCTCTAGCGCTTAGCAAATGTCAACAGAAAATAATGCACACACAAAGGCAATCTTATTTGTTCAAGAATCGCTCTAGGTCACCGCAATTCACCCAGGCAATGCAGAGGGAGAAGAGCCACCAAAACAGCTACAAAGACCAGCCACTCTCCCTCCATTTAAAAAAAAAAAAAAACTTCTTTCTTTCTAGTCCTGGTAATTCCCCCTTCATTTCTTTTTCTCTCTCTAACTCTGTTTCTCTTTATCCCTGCTGCTGTGAAACAAATAAATATCTTTCTGGTGTTTTCCAGCAAAAGCTAATCTGGTCAGCACTTTTTTCCTCTTCTCCTTCTTCACTGAATCCCTCTCTCATCCGCCTCCATATTTCCCATCTAATAATCAGTTCCATTTTGATTGTTTTGATGAGTGTATTCCTCCGCATTATGTATCGCTATTGCACGGCAGGTAGCTAATCAACTAAAACATTCTCTCTATTATTGCCACAGCAGATGAGCTAGTAATAGAAAAAATGGTGAATTCAATAAAGCACACACCTCCAAGGGGCTTTCATTTGAATGATTGCTCTGCCTTCGTACATCTCCATCTCTGATTGTGTTTATTTGTCCTCACCCGAGCATTCACACCACTTCTCAATGTTCCCTTTGTGTTGTTGTTTTCCTTCCTCACTTCACAATAAAAAACACTTTGATTTGCAATAATGATATTTCCCCAAGGCATGCATTGCTGTCTGTCTTTATCTTTTTTTGATACAACTCAGTCGCTAAAAAGACATTGTCATAAGTGCTTTAAAAAAGATTTAGATTTTAAAAAATTATTTTATTTACAAATTGGGTTTTATTCTCATAGCTCTAGCCACCAGCACTGATAAAATATCTTCTTGCCTAAGTAATTGCAAAGATCTTTGAACTAAAAATACGTCAAACAGAGGAAGAAAAAGAAGCAGCCAGACCATCGTAATATGTTGTATACACACAGTTCACCCAAATTATTTAGAGGTCTAACTGGAACGTAGGTAATTATTAACCCCTCAATACTCAAGAATTATGGGGGAGTGTCACTATGGTAAAAGTAGTAGGTCATAGTTGAAGCAGAAAGTGGGTATGTGAACTGTGATAGACACCGTTGGTAGTAGTTTACGGTCCACATTTTTCCCCTTTCGCCTCCAGATACATCATCTGTGTCCACTATGCTATGTTAGTATTGGAGCTGTTGAAAACAAGAAGGGGATCGGTTCAGCATCAGCAGTAATGCAAGCATTTTTCTAGGCTGTCATTCTGAAGAGGGAGCAGAAAGGGAAGCTCTCTATTTACCAGTCAATAAACGTTCCAAGGTCCGAAATGAAACTGCAGTACATGTCGTATAGATCATCATATTCACAGCTACCCCTCACTGTTATTTTATTACTTAAACATATGTACTTCGCACTTTTTGCACTGCATTTCATCGTCTCAGTACTCTGTGCAGTGACAATAAAGTTTAATCTAATCTGAAATTTCCTTCATAGGGTGGCTGGGCTCACAGTTGGAGACAAGGTACAGAGCACATCATCTCAAAGGAGCTTGGAGTAGAACCACTGAATCTTCACACTGAAATGAGCCAGTTGGGGTGGTTCATCAAAGGTGGAGCAGGTGATCTGGAGAAAGGCAGAGAGAAGTTAGTAAAAGCAAACTGGTTGCTAGATTAACGGGCTTAAGGCTAGATGTTAAGGTAAGACCTACGGTACGCAACTTAACAATCCAGCAGGGAATGGAAGTCTGGTCTCTCCTTAAGAGGTAGGGATGGCTGATCAGGAACAGGTGCGTGATTACCAGCAGGTGCAGCCCGTGCCACCTCAGGAACCCAGACACACCCAGGATTCAAAAAACTGAGAGAAGAAAAAAAAACAGAACAAAAACACACCAAGCATGCCTCACTCACCCAAAGGAAAAAAACTAATCAAAACACACTCACTCAGTCCCAGGCCGGCCTCTTAGGGCGTTGCTGGGAGACGGAGAACACTGAGTGCGTGCCGAGAGCAAACCTTTCACTTGGGTCAGGCTGTCTGTAGAGGGGGAAATATCTCAACCCCCCCCCCCTTCCTCAGAGAGAGACAGAGATTTTTGGAATCTCATAATCGCACAAAAATAATTAAAACAACCCTGGCTGATCCACTACATTTACAATATAAATAATGTTGGATGATAAATGTTTGTCAATGCTATCCAGTGGTGAGCTGAATATTGAAATGTTGCATCAACAACAAAGTTTGATTGTTAGCTTGCAGTTTGTGTCTCAGTCACCGTTTGCAGGTATACCAGCTCCACATATATCTTTCAGTCAGGAGCTCCCTCTCAAATGCTGCATCAAGGTCCAGCGAAAAACTTGTGCAGAGTCCATGGTAGGTTCGGTAAAGTGTTATCACTGTTCCGAACGGCCACTTTTAAAGGTGGGGTGAAAAGCCTGTGGTTGCGAGGGGTGAGACACCATGTGTACATAGTTTTGCTCTCAGTTGTTCATACTAAATACATTATTTAGAAAGGGTTGACATGATGCTGAATAGACTGCATTTATATAGCCCTTTTTAACCTCAACGGACAAAAAAACTTTACAATTTTGCCTCTCAACCACCTATGCTTTCACACACACCTATGGCAGCGGAGCTACCATGGAAGGCATTTGCCTGCCTATCAGGAGCAACCTGGGGTTAGATGTCCTACTCAAGGACACTTCGACACATGAACAGGAAGAGCCGGGATCAAACTAAGGGAATTTGATTGGACAGAAAATTTGAGCTAATTAGTTCCTTACCAAAAATCACATTCAGACAAAATACAAAAAACTCAGGAGATCACCCAATTGTTTCATCCTTAGTGACACAGAATGGCAAGCCCATTTTTCCAGATAAATTGACAAACTGGTGGAGATAAGTGCAGGAAAAAAGAAAGAGCTGAAGTGGGAGGAGGTGGAGCAGAGGCCAGAGAGGGAGCTGTCAATGCAGACGGTGGGGGTTACAGGTACAAGCCCCTTTAAACACTCTGACAGTTAAAGCAATTAACATGACAGGTAAAAGTTACAGACCAATTAGACATGGTTCTTTATCAGCATGGTTCTGAATGAGACGGGGGTAGAGGCACTTAATATTCATATCATCCATTCAAAAATTTAAAATCAAACATGGCGACAATGACATTAATTATCAGGAATAACAGCTATCTGGAGTGAAACAAATGATTAGAGTTGTCAATTAGTAGAGTGACAATTGGTGTGTGAGGTGGAAAAATGGGGATGCCATTAAAAGTTAAATAACTGAAGGTGAAACCTATTCAGAACTATCAGAACATTAATTTTTAAATATTCAAAGAGGTGTCTTAAAAGCACAAGGTGCAGCAGCCATAATGACAGGTCCTATTTTAGATAGTTCTCACATTTCAGATATACTTTCAAACTGCAGAACCCAATATAATATCCTCACAAATGTCTCTACTTTTAAGTTTGTTCAGTTGCACATCACTACCACAAAAAATATTTAATCCAGAAAGAGGCAGATAAATATACATAACCCATAAATTTAGATTAATTAATAATTTAAGACTCGTTTTCACATTCTTAGTTAGCTCAGTTTGTAGAGCGCTATTTTTGTGTTTGATCTTCACATTGGGTGGATTTTTTTTATTTATCATCAACAAATTATGAGACTATTTGCTTGCAATAAAGCATGTCCTGGAGTGTGTGTCCCGGCGACTGGTCCACATCCATCAATCTCTCACATTTCCTGACGGCTATTTCGGACATGTGTCAAGCACCTTTGAAACGTTCTGAAGGACATTCAAAAGAGTCTGTGGCTTGCATCACACACCTCTGAAATAGCCATCGGGAAACATGAGATTGGATTCCCGTGAATGAGAAGCGCAGGAATTTCCTGCTGGGGAAATGAAATTAAGGGTCAATAAATTGATGGATGTGGACCAATTGTGATCATGTCATAAGTACTTTATTGAAGAGGATTAAAAAACAGCTGAAGTGGGGATCGAACACCCAAACCTCAGAGTGCAAACCCTGCACTCTACAAACTATTATTTTGTTATCGCGAGAAAATGACACACTGATTACACTGATTTTTCAGCTTCTGAAACACGTTCTCCTACTCTTCTCTTCTCTGATGCTGTCTCCTCCTGTCTCTTCTCTCCTCCTCTCCAACAACAATAAATTGTCAAAGATTAACAATACACTACAGTGCTTCCCATAGGATTTTTTTCAGGGGGGGAAGATCCCCCGAAACTACTAGTGTCGTGGAGCGGCGCGTGTTATGGATACGTAGTGTCGTCGTAGATGTGTTTAGGCTCGTCACATTATTCAGATATTGGGTGACAAGACCATGGATAGAGCCCTGTGAAATCCATTTGTATCTGTTGCTTTTCTGTTTCCATGTTTTACAATTTAAGCAGATTTAGTCATCAGAAACAGTGTGTAATCATGTGGCGGACATTTCAAAAATTCAATAAGCAATATTACATAATGAATCAATATCAATGAATTTGTTTCATGTAATATAGAAATAGTCAAATATATGTGCAGTTATTTATTTACTTTGTTCACAGACAATGTATGGAAAACAGTTAGATATTAAAATACTATAATACTATTTAATAGGGGACAGTTCACAATGAATGCATTACTGCAATACATGTATTGTGAATTGTCCACTATCAAACAGGTGATGACAGCCTCCACATGCTGCTGAACACGGTGGGTGTAGGTCGGTGGGCAATGCTCCTCCTCATTTACAAAGCCTGACTGGATGCATCTTACAATAACTGACTCCGCCCACACAGCCACAAAGTCTATAACAAGTTTGTATCTTGCTTCTGCCAATGTGGTTTCACGTTTTTTGAAGAGAAGAGCTCTTTGATATGACAGCATGTTTGTATGTGTGCGTGTGTCAAGGAGACGCTGAGCGCTAAACCCCGCCCTCGCTGAAACGCATCACAGAGAGGACAGATGCAGCACATGTAATTTCCCTTCCTTCAAAACAGGTGCCCAGTTACTTACTGCTTCTAATACCTAATGAAGCACACCTGTTATCACTAGTATCATGGAGAAGATAATCTGCACCAACATCACAAAAAGAACAACAAAAAACATCTCAGACATGACCAAAACATAACTTTGTGAAAAACAATAAAGCTACACAAATTGAATGAGCTCGTGTTCTATCATTTATGACATGACTGAAAATGAATAGATTTACTGAAATACTGGATTGAAATAACTAAGCTAAAATATATATATATATAATATTGAGAAACAATATGAACTGAAAAGGAAGGCAAGACACACAAAAGTATATATATATGATCACATTTGACCGAAATATAATGAAAAACAGTAAGCTTGACCACTAATAGTTATTATGTGTGGGAGTATAATGAAGAGACACGATTTTCATATGGTGAAGTACAAGTTGCACTGAGCTGCTGTAGTATTTATCTGATCCCTGATCAGATGTTTTCAAGATGGCACAGCAGATAATGGGACAGGCTTCTCCTGATCTGGAATATTTCTTCATCAACTGCAAACCCTTCTTCTTCCCTGATGAGGTTGTTTCATTCATTCTGGTTGGTGTTGACATTCCACCACAGACCAAAGTGCAGGAGGTCATCACTGACCAGATACTGTGTGAAGAGCAGACAAAGCCAGACTTATTAGTTATCGTCCTCGATAACTTTAACAAAGGAAATCTCAGCCATGAACTCCCAAAATACAGACAATTCATTTAAAAAATCCTACTTAGGGGTTGTACCAGAACAGGTTTACATGGTTTCATTTTCAAAAAACACCATATTTTTGTCATACTGTCACATTGCTGCAGCTCCTCTTTTCACCCTTTGTGCTGAACACTTTGTTTTAGCTATGGAGTGATACATCTTACTTCTACAAGATCTTTGTTGAGAGTTGCACATGTGCAGTGCCTAGTTAAGGACTACTAGCCAATCAGAAGCAGACGAGGGCGGCCCTGAAAAGCCGGTAAACACAGCTTCAGTTCAGCTGTATATGTTGTATATGTTCCCCTTACCAGCTTAGCAACATGGACTGGAGCAAGAGTTTCAGAGTGTAACAAAAGTATCTTTCATCCATAAAGTTTTAACTGAGCTCTCTCAACATCACAGTAACAACTTCATGTCCATTGACTGCCTGGAGGGTAGCTAGTGTGTTGTGAACTCAACCAGACGCACTTCAAAGAAGGTCAGATGGTGTCAAAAGAGGGAGGGAAGTTTTGGTCCCCGAGAGTTGACCTTTTCACATGCAAAAACCAGAGACATCGCCTGGTGTTTGGTAGGGACCGGCAATGCATCGCTTAAGGATTGTGTATTCAAAGAGCCTTAGTGAACCTCCCTAGCCGTAAAGGTGTCACTAGAGACAGTCAACAGGACAGCAAAAGGGGCTATCTGATCCCTTTCTCCCTCCCTCCGGCCTCAACCTGACTCTTTTCTCTCCACAGAATGGCTGAGCCATAAACCACCATTTCGTTCTCTAATAGCCAATGTGATAAGCCAGGAATGCAAAGAGAAGAGACCATAACAACCCCTGTTTCTCGTAATGTAATCGTGAAGAGTTCCCCAACCTCTTTCTGTCTTGTCTTAATTCGTCCCTGTTACCGCCTAGTAATCACTATCCGTTCAGTATTAACTAATGCTTTAGTTAAATGTTGCATATACAATTTCCTACTAAAACATCCATTGATAC